TATAGAGTGTGTATAACGACGCTAAGAATACAATTCTTTGGAGAGTAACTTCCGGGAAAGCGTCAAAACAAGGATCAGCTAGAGATGGAATAAGTAAGTTTGGTGTAGAACTTTATTCTAAATGTGAAATTTTCGGTGATGAAATTTCTAGAAATTTTTAGATTTTTTTGTTGTTTGTATTTGAAAAAATACCCTGTTGTGTTGTAATGTTTTTATTCAAAGTTTTAAATGTATTTTTTAATATTTTTAACATGTTTGTGACAGTGTTCTTCACCACTAGGACCAACTGAACATTTTCAATGTGCTGATGAAGGTGACAACATATCACCGAAAATTTCACATTTAGAATAAAGTTCTACACCAAACTGGCTTATTCCATCGTTTTGACGCTTTCCCGAAAGTTACCCTCCAAAGAATTATTCATATATATATATATATATATATATATATATATTATATATATATATATATTTTTTTTTTAGTGGATTCTCTTGGGCTTAGGTTCATAAAAAAAATTTAGTTTGATACTAAGACATTTTTATATATATTTTTTCCGACGTTTCGGCAGGAAATCCATGCCTTTTTCAAGAATATATATTGACTAAAAAAAACATTCTATGACAGACATAATATGGTTTAAAAAATAAACTTTTGACTTACCAAGCATGTAAAGATTTGGTGTTAACAATTAGACGTCACAATTAAAATAATTTTAAAACATAGGACACACCCACTAAGTCACTAAAAGTAAAATGTATTTTAAATCTAATGTGTTGTTTATTGATGTTAGCTTATCGTTTAAACAATCAGTTATTTTAACATCATAGGCGTTCTGAGATTGACTTATGTATATTTAAATTAAGTTAAAATATATTTTGTTCAAATTTTTGACATCTTTTTTATCATTTATTGCGTTATTATTTTTTTTTATTTGTATAGACTCTAGAAGCTCTCTCTTCTTCCTGTTGGCTTCACTTTTTAGGATCTTGGTTTGCTCAAAATCAAATTTATGTTTTTTTTCGTTTTCATGTTTTGTGAGGGCGGTTGAGTTTTTTTTGTCATATTTGTGGGAACGTATTCTTGAATTAAGTAGTTGACTGGTTTGTCCAATATAAACTCCATCACAATTCGAGCAGGGAATTTCATATACAACATGTGATCTTTTTAATAAAGGGGTTTTTGTTTTCAATCTTGTAAAATTCCTTTTCAAAAGATTGTGACCTTTATGAGCAACCGTAATATTATGTTTAGACAGAAGATTTGCTATTTGTTCTGATAACCCTTTTATATAGGGGAGAGACATATAGTTTTTCTTTACCGTATTGGTTTTATTATTATTATTGTTGTTGTAAAATTTATGCAGTCGCGATTTGAAAGTGTTGTCGATAAGGTGGTGTGGGTATGAATTAAGTGTAAGTGCTGTTTTTGCTTTTTTAATGGCCTGAGGTCTATTGATAGGATCGGATAATCTAATAGCTCTATCAGCGAGTCCGATAACTACTGATTTCTTTTGAGACAGGGGATGATGAGAGTTGAAATTTAGATATCTCGACGACCAGGTTTTTTTGGTGTACCATGAAGTAGTTATAGTGCTGTTTTCCCTATGCAAGGTCAGGTCCAGAAAATTAATTTGATTATTTTTTTCAATTTCTAATGTGAAAATAAACAAATTAATCAAAAAAATAATCAAATTAATTTTCTGGACCTGACCTTGCATAGGGAAAACAGCACTATAACTACTTCATGGTACACCAAAAAAACCTGGTCGTCGAGATATCTAAATTTCAACTCTCATCATCCCCTGTCTCAAAAGAAATCAGTAGTTATCGGACTCGCTGATAGAGCTATTAGATTATCCGATCCTATCAATAGACCTCAGGCCATTAAAAAAGCAAAAACAGCACTTACACTTAATTCATACCCACACCACCTTATCGACAACACTTTCAAATCGCGACTGCATAAATTTTACAACAACAATAATAATAATAAAACCAATACGGTAAAGAAAAACTATATGTCTCTCCCCTATATAAAAGGGTTATCAGAACAAATAGCAAATCTTCTGTCTAAACATAATATTACGGTTGCTCATAAAGGTCACAATCTTTTGAAAAGGAATTTTACAAGATTGAAAACAAAAACCCCTTTATTAAAAAGATCACATGTTGTATATGAAATTCCCTGCTCGAATTGTGATGGAGTTTATATTGGACAAACCAGTCAACTACTTAATTCAAGAATACGTTCCCACAAATATGACAAAAAAAACTCAACCGCCCTCACAAAACATGAAAACGAAAAAAAACATAAATTTGATTTTGAGCAAACCAAGATCCTAAAAAGTGAAGCCAACAGGAAGAAGAGAGAGCTTCTAGAGTCTATACAAATAAAAAAAAATAATAACGCAATAAATGATAAAAAAGATGTCAAAAATTTGAACAAAATATATTTTAACTTAATTTAAATATACATAAGTCAATCTCAGAACGCCTATGATGTTAAAATAACTGATTGTTTAAACGATAAGCTAACATCAATAAACAACACATTAGATTTAAAATACATTTTACTTTTAGTGACTTAGTGGGTGTGTCCTATGTTTTAAAATTATTTTAATTGTGACGTCTAATTGTTAACACCAAATCTTTACATGCTTGGTAAGTCAAAAGTTTATTTTTTAAACCATATTATGTCTGTCATAGAATGTTTTTTTTAGTCAATATATATTCTTGAAAAAGGCATGGATTTCCTGCCGAAACGTCGGAAAAAATATATATAAAAATGTCTTAGTATCAAACTAAATTTTTTTTATGAACCTAAGCCCAAGAGAATCCACTAAAAAATATATATTAAGGTTCAAGAACTAAACTCAAAACTATATATATATATATATATATATATATATATATATATATATATATATATATATATATAAAATGGTTTTTCAACTTAAGTGTCATAAATTTTAGAAGTTAAATATTCACTTTGTAATTTTATCTTCTTCATCATCATATTCTTTTTATGTAGACATGACTCTGTTTTTCAATTTGCCTCCATATTAGTCTGATGTCTGTTTTGTAAATTCTGCCTTTAATTTCTTTCCCGATTATTTTATTTCTCCATATTGTTTCATTCAGGCAACCTGCGGCTCTGTGTGCTCTATTCACTTGATCTTCCACTTCGGTTTCGAGCTTTCCGTAGCTAGATAATGTGATGCCTAGATATTTAAACTCCATCACTTGTTCTATTATCTGATCTTCTAGCTCCAGTTTACATCTTAGTAAATTTGCGGTTAAAATTATGTATTTTATCTTTTTTTGGGGAAATTAACGTGTTAAATTTTCTGATGGTTATATTTAATTGGTGCAAGATACGCTGTAAATCATATTCACTTTGAGAGAGTAGTATTGTGTCGTCTGCATAGCAGATTATTTTAAGTTGTTTTTCTCCCATTTGGTATCATTATTTAGTCCTTTTTTTTCTTATTATTTCATCTATAATCAGGTTGAACAATAGAGGACTCAGAAAATCTCCCTGTCTTATCCCATTGCCCTCTTTAATAGGATCAGTTAGTTCTTCTTCTACTTTTACTTTTGTTGTGTTGTTTTGGTAGATATTTTTGATCGTTTTGATTATTCGTAATGGTACATATCTCTCTTGCGTATAATAAGTAGATAACCTCCTTTAATTTGGCCCAGTCAAATGCCTTAAGGTAATCAAAAATAGATATGACGGTTTGTTGTATTCTAATGATTTCTCTTACACTTGCCTCATAAATATAGCGCCGGCGCATGATCTTCCCGACCTAAAACCTTGTTGTTTTTCTGCTAGTGTTATAATTTTATTTAGTTTATTTGTTATCACTTCGGTTGTTTATTTAAGTGTTCGATTTAATCAATTGATTCTTCTGTAATTATCTGGGTTTGGTTTGTCTCCCTTTTTGAAGAAAAGTATTAGGATGCTTGATCTTCATTCTTGAGGATTTCAGTTTTGTTCTAATATTTTTTGGATTAGTTTTAGCAGTTGTTTGGTGTTTGGTCAGATCTGGTCCCTCGTACTTTAGGAGTTCATTCGATATTCGGTCCTCTCCTGGTGATTTTCTGTTTTTTAATTGCCTTAATGTTTTCTTTACCTCTTCCTCCTCATTTTATAAAGTAGGTACTCATTTCAAATTCTAGTTTTTTTATTATGAGAAAATTAAGAATTTTTAAATTGTTGGTGACAAGATTTATAGACGTTCACATTTGTGTGTCCAAAGTAAAAATACCCAGATCAAACAAACAATCACAATACTTTTCAATATTTTTGAGGTTTGTGTCCAAAGTAAAAAAGAAAATAGATAATCCCCAGATCAAACAAACAATCACAATACACATTTTTCAATATTTTTGAGGAGGAGCTTTTCAATAATCAGATGAGCAAGAGAATTACAGTGGTATCGCCAATCAGACACTGACTCGGTAGAGATACTACTACTCTGAGCAACTCAGAATAAAATTAATAACCAGCACAAGACAAAAGACCAATAAGAACTATAGAAGAACATCGACATTCATTATAACTAGACATCTGCCAATATGTATATAATAGAATAACTATCATATAACCACTAAAAACAAAGAAAATGAAGAACAAATAATTTATAACCATCAACCAAAATGCACTCGTTTTATCATCGTCGGAATTTGCATTGTTGAATTTAAACAAATCATAATATTTATATAATTTTAATTTGTTTTTAAATAGCTTCTCTTAATTTAAATATATTGCGCATATATGCACATGTAATCATAAAAATAATAAACTTTTGGTACAACCCGTACATATTTAACCCTGTTAAGAGGTCACGGCTGAGCAGCGTTCTTGCCAAATCAAGGTTAAAGTTCTATGAACAACAAAAATAAAAGATATAACTCTTTATTACCGCACATTGGATTTCCGATAAGCGGGGAAACCGGGAATTACCGTTTAGTGACAGAAAATGTATTTAAGTTTTTGGCAGTGCAAATAAAAGATTTAGTAAGTGATTGACCATAACAATACCGGTAGATCTAAATATGTATATCATGCGGTCACTTTCAAACATTGTGTTGTTTGTGTGTTTTTGCAATAACTTAACGTGGGCTGTTACAGGTAAGACAATATATATATATATATATATATATATATATATATATATATATATATATATATATTGGATTTGAAATTTCTGCGGAGCTATATGTGATTCCAGATGTTTTCTGGTCATAAATAGTTTTGGTTTTTAGAAAAACCATTGTTTTGACGACGTTTCGGCAATAGTTCTGACTTATTTTAATACTTGTATGTACCTGACTCTTTTTTAGAGGAGGTGATACTTACCTTTAAACAATCATACAATTTAAAACTATTTATTGTGTAAAAGATATAACACACTCTGTTGTTTTATTAAACTAAGCATAGGTTTATTTTTACATCTCCCTCCAAAGGAGTATGATAAACCATTCATGGTTTATCACAAGGCAGTTGTTTTGAAACGTGAAAATAATTTAAATCTTTCCTTTTGTATCTATCCAATATCCACTTCATATATTGTACCTATTTTAATTTTTTTTTTTTTTTTTAGTTGAAATGGGTCTAGTCTTACTTCGTCTAGTATTTTTTTCTATTTAGTTTTGATTTAATTTCCACATTTATCCGATTTCCCTATGTTAAACAGATTTTTCTATTTTTGTCATATAGTTTTTTATTATATTTATGATATTGTACCGAATTTTAAAGGGCTATTTGTTTTGCTATCGTTTTGTAAGTTTGCCACTTCAAACAGTTCCTCAGAAACAAATGGATAGGCTTTTCCACTGCAATCGGGCACCTATATAGTGTGCATAGGATGAAGGGCTTCTATAGCTGCAGTTGGTGTGCCTCTCAGAGCTTCTGTAAATCTGTTTACTATCTATCTATCTATCTATAGCCCAAAATCTATTCATGTGTTGAATATAGGCCTCTCCCACTTGTCTCTGTCTGCTGTTTGTCTTCTCCACATTGGACCTGCGCTTTGCTGAATGTCATCTTTCCATCTCATTTGCGGTCGACCTATTGATCTTTTTGCACTATATGGTCACCAGCGGCCAATTTCTTGATTCCATCTTCCGTCCTGATATCTTTGTTGGTTTTACTACCATAATATAAATACAACACGTCTGGTATGAACTGCACATTTTTTCATCTGGCTACTACTAAAGTGGTCACCGCTCTTTTGGTTATTCGTTCTATCTATTGATTCCAAGTAAGCCTTGAGTTAGTATTTCTAAAGGAACTTTACTTTACTCACCATATGCACTATTAGGTTTACAATGGTACCATTCAGGCACATATCTAAAGGACCTGTTGAAATTGCTTTGTAGGGGTGGAGATATTGTCTAATTATCATCATCAATGGTGTTACAACTCCTCGTGAGCCTTTGCCACATGTAATACTGTTATTAAACGTTTTATCTTGTAGTTTTTATTCCACAGTTTTCATTCCATAGTTAGCAATCCTATATGCATCCAATTTAATATTATTTTTTTTAGACTGGCCTGCAATATGCCCAGAAATAATCTCAAAAGCGAGATGGGGCGGTCGCACAGCGATAGCAGTTGAATATGCCATCATGCCCGTCAAATATGTCATCATCCATCACACTGTAACTCCACAATGTACTACAGAAGAGAGCTGTTCCAAAATTATGCAGAGTATACAAAATTTTCATATGGAAAATTTAGAGTTCCATGATATTGGTTACAAGTAAGCAAAATGATAATTATATTATTAGAATTACATATTGTTAAAATTATATGGGTATTGTATATTGTATTGTATTTGTATGGTATTGACATAATATCGAAGTTAGCTTCATTCTCAGTGATACGATTAGTTTTTTTAATAATTCTATGTCTTCTTCAGAATATAGGAATTTGTTCACTGGCTCGGAATCAATACATCAATATCTACATTATTCATGTCAGTCCGACGCGTCATCTTCCTTTCGTTTTGTAATTTAGAATTTGTTTAGTTAGTCGATTTTCACCCATTCATTTTTCATTCTGTTTTCCGAACCCATTCAGAACCATCTGGTAAATTTAGTCATTAATTTTGGCTTCGACTGGAAGTGATTGGAAGCTACTATACCACCCAGTACACATACTCATGGCCAATATTAATTGTCAGTTAAAGAAAAAAAAAAAGCAGAGATATAATAGTCTTAAGTGGAACGAAAAAAAAGGATCAAGGCGAGAAAATTATAGAGAAACATACACGCATATGAAGTGGGGTTTGCAAACATGAAAGCAGCATAAGAAGTATCAATATTAATAAAAAATAAATGGAGAAAACACGTACAAGTTCACCAGCAAATACATGAACGAATGGAGATTAAGATGAACATATTTGGACAATCATCAATAATTGTTGGAGTATATGCAATGAATGACAATGGGACCATAAGGCAAAAGGAAGATTTTTCAATGCACTAAAAGATGTATTGGACAAGAGAAATCAAAAATAAGTTGTTGTACTAATTGGAGATTTTAACAGCCGCATTGGAAAGGAAGATGAAGATATAGCGGGACGATTCAGAGAAGAAGAAATTAGAAACAACAATGGAAATCGGCTAATTGAAATACGTCGAAAATACGACATATGGGCCATAACTAACACAAGACTTCAGCATAAAAACATAAATGTGTTTTAAAATGTGATAAAACCATCATTGATTTGACATCTTTTATACCCTAAATTAATAAATAAAAAGTTTTTAAATCCCAACACCTAGATTGTTGTTATTTTTTAAAATCATCAAAACTTGTTGAATCTTTTGGCTGTAGTAATACTATGTACAACTTTTATAGTTTTTGTTGCATTGACATTCTGTTATCTTCATCCTTCAAAAGTATCTTGTCAATCAGTTCCACGTTGTTCTCCGAGTGCAGAGGTTCCCTCTCACCCGGCTCTGGAACCCAATTGGCCATGTGTTACCTATAGTCAAATTTAATTTAATATTGAACATCACAGTTATTTTATAACACAATGTACAACATTTCATAACTAAATGTAATTTAAAGGGTTTTTACCCTAATATTTTGGTGGCTCAGGCATTATGACCTAGTAAGTATAACCATCTTTTGCTTTTCAACCATAGTCAAAATTTCACAATCTCGTTTGTTTTAACTAAATGGTTTATACTTATTTTTAGGCATTTTCGATTTTAATAACCTGATGATGGACTGTGTGGTCCGAAAACGTTTGTTTTATTGATGTGGCCCTTTTAAGGGTTTTTTTTAAATAAATATACCCATTTACAAAGATTAACCTCTTTTTTTTTTTTTTTTTTTTTTTTTTTTATAAATGTGTTTAACATGTGTAAAAACATAAATTCAGTATTTTCCTTCGATTGTTAAAGATACAGTTAATTACGGTTTTAAATAAATAAAATATTTGTAAATAAATTATCTACAATATTATTTATTTTTCGGACTTCAGTGCCATTGTTACCATTGTTATCCTATTGTCTCTACACTATAAATCATTTCTTGGAATTTTTCGCCGTTGGGTTTAAATTTAAGTTTAAGTTAAAACCAATATGATCCAATCTATCATATTGTAACGCTAGCCCTTGCTACGCTCCTGATCAAACCTTCGCATTGTTCGAAGGATTTCTAAAAGAATTATTGTTAATTAACAATTTTAAATTTATAATTTTGTCTGTTTTAGTTTTCTAGTAGGAGAAGATGGAAGAATCTATGAAGCTACTGGATGGCACAAAGTTGGGGCTCACACTAGAACTTATAATAGCAAATCACTTGGCTTAGCTTTTATTGGAAACTTTTCAGGTATGATGATGTTTTTAAATTTTGATTTAATTTTAGTCGAACTACCTATACAGTTGTTCACCTTTAATTCTTCATGCTATATATTAATGATACATATTGTTCGATTTATATCTACGGTCAACCTTATCATTTATTTGTCCCTATGTCATTCTGGGTCTCTTGTAGGTCTTTATCTGTCCCCTCAGCAAGGTTTTATAAACGATCAAATAACCGATTAAATAATTTTTTTATTTTAGAAAAACGACCAAACAGTAAAGCATTAAAAGCAGCAAGAAATTTCATACAATGTGCAGTGGAGCTTGGAGAAGTTGATAAAAATTACATCTTACTTGGTGCGAGACAAGTTAGCCAGACTGCTAGTCCCGGATTATATTTATACAACGACATAAAAGATTGGCCACATTTTCAAAGAAATCCGTAAATGACTACACTCCCGAAAACTACATATAAAACGACTGATTCCGTATTGAATTATACGGTTAATTTATGTATATTATATTAATAAACTTTATTTTTAATTAATTGCAATTTGAATGAAAAAAACTTATGCTTTACGTACTTTTGTATAAACTAATATAAATTGGATTGTTAGAAAATAAATAATAGTTATTTCAATTTTAATTACACAGAGAATATTACCTAACAATAACTTTACAGTTGAGGATGCTACCAAAAGTTCTTTGGATGTGAGATTTGGATTTAAATATGCAATTAAACTGACTTTGAATGTATTTTCTGCCACCTCAATTTTCTCTGTAACAGAATACACTCTTCAAAAGATTGAGTCTACAGTGAGTTAACTAAATCTTTTTAATTTCGAACAAGCAATTTCTCGATTATAGTCGCATAAGCAGATTTAAGAACGCCAAAAAACCTTTTGTTTAAGAGCTGAAGGACCGATCTTGCATGGGACAGAGTTACAAAAAATATAACATGATTATCTCGGCAACATATACCCAGGAAATGACTGTGTAATACATGGCTCTCGTTAAATTAACGGGATATTATTATCTTTAGATAGATAAGTGATGGATAAGTGTATAAAGAATAACATTCAGATGTATAAAACGTTTCATGAGAGGCAGAACGTCAAATTTCCTGAAGGCACATCATTGTAGAAGAGATTATTCATCTTTTTTAGGAGAAAATTCAAAGCTGGCGGAACATAAATTACAGCGAAACTAATGCAGACTCGGCAGTTTTCATCTGGTTCTGCACTAGAAATCGTGCAGAGATTTTTCACCCTTCGGTGTAAGTAACAACACAGTCACACTGTAAAAATATATTAAAATTACCAATAAATAATAATAGTAATAAGCGTAATAAATATTTTTTTATCTATAAGAGGAAGTAACGCAATCTGCAATCTACTGCATAGGCAATATTATATACTCTGCTATAAAGAAGTAAAAATAATAATATGTATAAGTAAAAATGTATGTTTATTTAGTAATTGACTACTACAAAATAGCCACAGCTTCATTAAAACAATTATATTTTACTCACTAAAGTGGCAAAAATAGAGAATTTTTTAAAAATTTTCTGCACTCTTCTATCAAAAATTGACAGCTGACAAATTTAAATGTCAGTGAGACATCTGACATGCATCTGACCTAACCCTACTTTTGGACTTTTGGCATTTGATTTCAAAATGTTAGCATTAAAACATTTTGAAAATACTTAACTTAGTTATATACTACGAAGACATTAAATAGTTTTAACTTATGTTGTGATGTAATGTAACCAAATAAAGTATAATATGTACAAAGGTGTAATTTTAAATATTAGGTTACATAAAAGTCTAACCACTCATACCACTAGTTTACTAAAGGTAACATTTTTATTAATATAATGATATGTATGCATAAATAATAACTGTTTATTTTAGCAATACAAATGTGGAGTAAACTTCGTTGTTCCCAGCACTTCTTATGTTAATAAAACAAACTCAAAATCATCACCTCCACTTCTTGTAGATATAGCAGACAATGGGGCATTACCCTTGTCAGAGCTGTTACCTCACAAGCCGAAAGTTGCACCAGCTTGGCAAGTTACTCCATCCACCGACAGTTCCAACTTAGTAAAACATTATTTGAAACTGTCAAAAATTAGGCTTACATGTAATTATATGGTTTTTTTAATGGTCATTAAGTTAATAGCGTCAGTAGCTGATGATATGTGTGACTGTGAGATTTAAAATAGTCTAATAAAAAGTCTATATTATATAATAATTCATTTAGTAATATCTTTTAGATATCTTCATGTCATTTGGTTGAAAAGTTATCTAATGGCCTGATTATGATGCTTATATTTAAAAACACATAATAAATTCTCAACTACTGGTAGCTCTTTTGTAGATTTTTGTATTATATTTCATTAAATTCATATTCTATTCTATTGTGTTTTAGCCCTTGTCGTGATAACATCTATGGCTGGTTATGCAGTAGCACCTGCTCCTTTTGAAATTACAACATTTTTGTTGTGTACTGCTGGTACTGGATTATTATCTGCAGCTGCAAATGCCACAAACCAATTCCATGAAGTGCCATTTGATGCACAGATGTCAAGAACAAAAAACAGAGTATTAGTTTGTGGAAAATTAACGTAATGTTCAGAAAATACTTACTTGGCACCATCTAATTTGCTTGCGTTTTAGGCCTACACATTCAATGTTGTTTGCTGCTACTACAAGTATTACTGGATTAGGAATATTGTATTATGGGGTAAATGGTCTCACTGCCAGTTTAGGACTAACAAATTTAATTCTATATACATCAGTTTATACACCATTAAAAAGGATAAGTATTTTAAACACATGGGTTGGTTCTATAGGTAAGTATTATAGTTTACTTTAATTTTACACTCTTTCTATACTTAATTACAACTTATTTCTATTTTCCATATGTTTCTTTGTTTTAACATTGAATCATTACCTATATTTTTCTTTTCTTTTAGTCAGAAGACTAAATTTGAACTAAATCTGAAATTTATATTTTAAAAAGTACTTAAAAATATACATTATACTTTTCCTTTCAGTTGGCGCCATACCTCCCTTAATGGGTTGGGCTGCTTGTGCAGATTCATTAGGACCTGGCGCATGGCTCATGGCCGCTCTCCTTTACAGTTGGCAATTTCCACATTTTAACGCCTTATCTTGGAATCTACGACCAGATTATTCAAGAGCAGGCTATAGGATGATGGCTGTAACTGATCCGGCACTTTGTAGGAGAGTCGCATTAAGACATACTATTGCCATTCAAGCTATGTCTATGGCTGCTCCTCTCTTAGACACTACCAACTGGTGGTTTTTATTGGAGACTACCCCATTAAATATTTACTTTATTTATTTAGGTAAAGTATAATATCTAACATGTTATTTTAAATAAAATTATGTTAGGTGCTTAGAAAAGAATGTTTCTGTAAAGGTATAGTCCGTCTAGAAAGTATCTGGAATTTTATAGTTTTCCTAATTTTAATAGATTTCCTTTTTGTAACATATTAAGACAAAAGTAATGCATTAAGTAGGTTGTGCCGTTAGTAGGTTATGGGCAAAATCACATGACAACACCATCTGTCAAGTATTGTTGTTTGTAAATAGACTTAAGATTTGTGAAATAATGTCGCAAGTAGAAAAAAAGTAGTGGAATATTTGTATAGAAAGGGTGTCCGAAATGTTAAAAAATTATTGTAATTGACTTAACTCAAAAAAATGCAGTGTACGAGACAATTAAGAGGATAAAAAATGGCATAGTTATTAGACATAGACCAGTTTCGGGTAGACCACATAAGATTCGCGGAAACAATTTCAATGCTTTAGTGGCTTTAGGACGACAAAATCCGCGCCCATGGTTTCGAAAATTAGCGAACAGATTAAGAAATCAACGAAGAATAAAAGTGTGCCCAGAAACTGTTCGCATGTCACTGAAAAAGCAAGGCTGCATTATCAAGGAATCCAAAAAAAATCCCTACAATGACAACTCTGCAAAGGCAACGAAGATTAGATTTTTGTCAACATTTTCGAGAAGATAATTTTAATAATGTCTTTATATCTGACGAAAGTTGTTTCCAACTTGGTGCAAATCATCTAAAAGTTGTATCAAGAGAAAATGTTACCGTTCAAATTTCCCACTAAAATAATAGTTTGGGGAGCAATATCTTAGCGTGGTGCTACACCTCTCTGTATAGTTAATGGTACCTACTGTTGATAGTGCTAAATATTGTGACATCCTAAATGGTTTTCTTCTTGAAACGGCACATGTTTTATATCCAGAGGGGTGGCGTTTTCAGCAAGATAATGCAAGATACCATATTTCTGCTTATACTCAAGCTTGGATGCAAGAACACGAATTGGCAACAATTTCATGGCCAGCAGCATCTCCAGATCTTAGCCCCATTCAAACCATATGGGCACTGATGAAGATTGAAGTGGAACGAGCAGCGCCACGAGATAAAGAAGGTTTGATTAAGTCAGTTTTACAGGCCTGGGACACCATTACTGAAAATTATGGCCTTGACCTAGTTTCGGGTGTACCTGGACGTTTAGTTAAGTGTTTAGATTTAAATGGAGGTTTTATAAGTAAATGAGATGAATTATTTGTTGAAATTTTATATTTCTAGTGATAGAAATAAATAACGTAAAATTATAATTCTGCTTTCTTTTTTCTGGATACTTTCTAGACGGACTATGTATTGTTTTCGGGGTTATAGGCTATGGTCTGAAATTATTTATTCCTTACATCTTATGTACAGTGGCTGCATGCATCAAAGAAGATGCGGTAGCATAGACATAACTTCCTGTCGCTGCCATTGTGTGTCCCCGTAATCAATCGGTAATGAAATTTTCGTTACATCTAGGGAGATGTTTTGTATTTCGTAGTGTAGAGAGCCACATCATGTTTAGATACAAAGCTTGTTCTTTATGGTTAAAATTAATCGGGTGTTTTTGATTTTCAATAACTTCTCCGAACGTATGTGGACAGTAGTGTGATATTCTAAGTAAGCGTATGTGTTTCTGCTTTGTGATGTTTTACTGGACATAACTGTCCCCCTTCCAACAATGTTTGACGTCTTCTTCAAAATCTTCAGTTTTTATGACCCCTATCATTCGTATAAAAAACAAAACCTTCAGTTTTTGGCGAAAATCTGTCCAAAATATCGCAAGAACCACTCAAACGATTTTTGCTCCGATGTGATTTTCTTCAAAAGCTGCACCCAACTTGCCCAGAAATCTTCAGGTAAAAGAATGTAACCACTATAAATTGAGACACCCACTATGGCTGCTATCTCGCTGCTATCTCGGCTGCTATTTTATACTTCGATCATCCTAATATACATATGACCACGTTTATAAGCAGCAGTCTCCTTTTAACCATTACAAATTATAAAGATGACTCCAATAGTAGTGCATCTAAGTGTCCGTTAATTTGGTTGCCTTTTAAGTGAAAGTACTTCTCAGTTTTCCTTTTTTCCTTAGGAGGTTCTCTTTTCTACTGAAGTCTGGAGGTGTAATATGACTCCAAACAGGAATCCATGAAGTAGGGGCGCTTTTAATACATCCTCTGATAATCCTTATGATTTGATTGAGCTTGATGTTGATCTGTGTTACATAGTTTCTGTAATAAAGTATACTTTAGGCTCGTTATTTGCTTGCTTGTTATTGAGATGAAAGCAGGCAACCTCCGTTTTATCGTATTTGGAATAAGCCTTCAGTTACTGAAGTATTTACCAAGAACTATCAAATATTTTGATATGTTGCTTACGCTCTCTATCGTGTTTGGCAGGCAACTAGTACTAAGTCATTAGCACATATATTTCTTTGCCAACGTTGGAGGGATGTCAGATATATATATAAATTGAAGGGAATTGAGGCAAGCACCGATCCTTGACGAAGTCTATTTGTAATTTCCTTACCCTGTTCTTACTGTCTACAGTTATTATTTGAAAATACCTATCGCACAACTTATTGTTTAGTAAGGGTAGCAACTCTGTTACACGGTATAGTGTTGGCACATATAAAGATAAGTTCGTCCCTCCATACACTGTTGTAAGCAGCAGTTAGATCAATGTAAGCTATCGTAGTTGTTAAAATCCTTATGTTATTTTACATAGAGATAAGCATCGAGAGGTATTTTCAACGAATAAAAAAATCGACAATATCTCACACACACTTTGTTTAAATTTAAAGATAGGAAACGCGTACTAGAGACTCTATACTCCTCCTCAGTCCTAATCCCTTTTGGAATGTGGTGACATCATCAGGCCTTTACAGTTTTTTCACGATTCCCCTTCATCCTTTTCTGTCCTGGGCTAGTTGTTTTGCTTCATGTAACCCTTGGTTAATCAATATTTTTGTTTGATCTACCCAACGGCTTGGAGATCTTTCCCGTAGGTCTCTTTCCTTCAATTCTACCCTCGACAATAAGTTTTTCCATCGTACCTGTTCTTCTAGCAATGTGTCCAAAATACTGCAAATATCTCTGTTGTATTTGTTTAAGTAATCTATCCTTTACTTTAAGTTGTTCTAATATCGACATGTTAGTGCGATGATCAATCCAGGATATTCTTAACATGCTGCAGTATACCTATATTTCGAAAACGTCTAGTTTATCTTGTATCTGCTTTCTTTAAGGTCCAAGTTCAGTCCGTTTCCTAAGATTGGCCAGCCAGGATATACATCTGCGTCCAGGGCCTCTCTTTACATCAATACTACACTTTTTATCCATACAAACATAATTGTTGTTGTTAACACGAAATTTAAAATTATAACAGTAGTCATGTCAAAAACGAATGAGGATATTAATAAAAAAATTTAATTTTCAGCCTATAAATTTTACAAAGAGTCGTCAAGTGCTACCTCAAGGAAACTGTTCCGGTTTTCTTTAATTCATTTACCGTTAATAATGGTCCTATTTTTAATTAATAAAAAGAAGTGGTTTTTGTTTGAAGATCAGAAAACTGAAACAAATAGGACAGAGTTAGTGAGTGCGTAGTTAAAGTGATATTTTGTTTCAAATAAAGTATTAGGTACAAATCCGTGTTTTTTATTTTTCCTCTACAGAATTGTTTTAATAAAAGAAACAAGCTTAATATTTAATTAAAAAAAGAATAAGATCAATATAATAAATTTACAGGCATTGTTAATAAATAGAAATTATTACTTTGACAACAACTTTTGATGAATTACTTATACAAGTTTCTAATCTTGTTCAAGTACTTTATCATGAGATAAAAAGATAATAAATATTGTCACCCTGAGATAATAGCGATAACAAAAGCTAAATAGTAATAGGGGAAGTTTAAAACACAATAAACTGAAAAACCAAAAGACACCAGGCGTTGATAACATCAACACTGAATTCATCAAGTATAAGGTAGCGTAACTGAAGAAATAACTCCAAAACTAAGAATTAATTAGTAATTCAGAACAATTTCCGATGTGAAAATCTAAACATCAAAATATTAAAGTAAAATTGTGCTTGTTTACAATGAAAAATAATAAATTGCTTTAACATGCCACAAGAAAATAGCTTCAGAATAATATAGACAGAAGAATAAGGACAAAAATTAAAGAAGCGGAAGATACATATAGTTGTCTGAGAAATGTAAAAAAATCGAATCATGTGAGAAGAATTATGAGTATTACATGTACACAAAAGTAAAAGAAGTGACAAATAGAAGACCATACAAAGGCTCAACTGCGGGCACATATGACACTAACTCAAAAAATAGATTTATTTAGAATTTTAAGCTAATTACGTTAGTCTTTTTGTTTTCTGGGCAGAGTCTGAACCATCGATCACTAGATCATGCACAGTAAAGAGGATGCGATCCGTCCACCTGACTCACCTGGCTATCTGACCGACCTATCATTCCTTCCATCCTTAAATAAGAGGTAGAAATAGCTATAAAGTTTTTCAAAAATAACAAAAATATCCATCGAAGATTGATGACTGATCAACAAGATAGTTTATCATGCAAATATATGGCCTTTCAATAAATACCAAGACAACAAAAATTATGAAGATTTTAAAATCATCACAAAATAATTATGAAAGGTTAACTTTTACAAGTAGAGAATTTCAACTATCTTGGAAACATATCCATTCATTGGTGAACCAGAGAAATTATAGTGGGCATAGTAAAGGTACTTTGTACAAGGGATCTGAATCGGGATGTAAGAGTTAGGTTGACAAGGTGTTATATTATTTCGACACTACTGTATGGATTGGAACCGTGGACCCTGAACGTGGCGATAATTAAGAAACTGGAAGCATTTGAATTATGGATACACGGGAGAATCATGAAAATATGGATTGATCATGTAACAAACAGTGAAGTCATGAAAACAATGCATAAGAGTACGGAAATAATAGAAACCAGAAAGTCACAGTATCTGGGGCATATTATGATGTCACATCTATCAAACTTTTCTGGGCAGCCGCATCTAAGATCGGAATAGCCATGAAGGTTGCCAACTTCCGCCGCAGAGTAAAGCAGAAAATAGTCATCCTGAAAAACTAAAAATCCTAATAATACATTTTTGATCATTTTGACTACTGAACTAAATAATATATTATATGACAGTGGGAAAACAAAAAGTCTAAACAATCACATCACTAAAGTCTTCAATAAAATCATATACAAAAAAATCTATAGCAAATGAAAAGCTGAGTTAAGTCATTCACATTTTGAGTTCCGAAATGCTCTTGGCATAAAAGAAGCGATGTTTTTCATACAGTACTGATCCAACCGTGTAGACACGCGAACATAAACATCTACATATGCTTTATAGATTATTCTAGAACTTTCAATAATTGTGTGAGCAATAGGGCAACAGATATACTGCTGTACTTTCAGAGAATTTGGGTCATCATGCTAGAAGTCATCGGTAGAGTGCTGCCTGCAGTAGTGAAACTGTCTATATTGGATCAGTTTTTTCATTTTGTTTAATTGTCAGCCCAACGTCTCAATGATTCGTCTAAAAAATTTGGCAACTGGCAGTCTTAGACTGTACTGACTTTTCTTTACCTAGACTGTAAATTTGGCAACTGGCACGTACATGAAATTACATTAATCATTGCCGACTTTTGAAATGAAAACGGTGCTTACAGAAAATAATAAAGGAAAAAATAAAAAACAATTAGTATTTACAATCTTTATTATAAATAATCCGATAAATTATTATTATTAGAAAATAACTAAATTTTTGAATCACATTCAAAAACTTTCCTAACATAAAAAATTAAAAATTTTAGGCTTTTCATATGTTATATTCCACTTAGTTAACAAATTGTTTACATTCTTATTATTCCAAAAACATTACATAAAAAAGCGTGTGATTGAAGTACAAATTCAACCTGTGGAATATTAAAAATGCAACTTTTATATCGAGGGTTTCAGTATTTCCCATTGTAAATCAGTCAATAAATCAGAAAGTTAGTGAAAAACTTTTTACTAAAAGATGTTTACGTAATACATGCTCAACCACAAACAAAAAATCAGTGATGCTGATATACCAAAAAATTAATTCACAAAAAAAATAAATATTTAGCACTTTTTATATTTTAGCCTTTAGTACTAATTCAACAATTAACTCAATTGCTATAAGTAAGTCACAGATTGTGCAAATGTGACTTAATACTCTAATAGTAAGAGATTTTACCCAGGAGTTATGTAGCCATAGAATGTGACATTAAAAAAAAATTGAGAAATAATGACAAGTTTGTCAAAACCAAAACGAAATCAATCAAATCATCCTGCAGATAATAGTCGATCCTAAATAGAATCCGCACAAACCAGGGAAACAGTGTGAATGAATTCAAGTGGGGTAAAAAAGTCTTCTCCTTGCTCTAAATGCAGTCAAATCATTCGCCACACTTTCGAGATCTTACTCAGGTCAAACGAGCAATTTCCTAACTGCAACAAACGAGCCAATTAAATATATAGCTAGCTTAATATTTGTAATAACTTTATGTAGTTCATTATATTGGATGTGATACACGCATACACACAGAACAGAAATTTTACTATGGAAAGCTCCACGAAAGCAAAATAGACCTGAACTGCTCAAATTTCTTGCTACTGTGAGTAAATAACGGAGGTTAGGCTAAAAACACGTAAGAAAAAGTTGAAGCCTTTGAGAATCACCTCGTAGAAGTTTTCCAGTCAAATGTACCAAATAACAACAGTAATATAGAAAACGATATTCACTTTATCTTAGAATTCTCCTACCAAATGAAACCATATTTGGACGGATTCAATACGAAATAATTGTACAAAAAAATTGCGAACTAAATCCAAAAATGCCTCCAGGCTACGACTTGATCACCATAAGACCTTCCTCTCTCAATATCATATATCGATATATCGAAGAGATATCAATCAAAAGTCCTCCGTACCATCCCAAATGCACCTTGGTACGTGCCAAATGACAGTTGAAGTAGAAACTGTCAAGAGTTAAGAAGACGTTTGAGGAGCTTTTGAGGTCTTAGCCATTCCAAAGAGTGACCACTGAAGTTAATTTTACCTAACAATTTCAATATTTTATCGTAATGATTTCAAAGTCAAATATTTTCTTTTGAAAATTAAAAATTTATATAATGTCACTGGATAGTCTCCTATATGTTCTTCCGTTAATTTGACGCTCTATTCACTTTCAGCAACTGAGCTGAAATATTAATTTCAAAAATCAATCGCTTAGTTTTGCATGGTAACTGTAGCATGAATTGATGACGGATTTAGTGTTTGTTTGTGGTTGGGCATTTGTTTTATAAAATATTTTTGGTGATCACTTGCATGATATTTTCATCGATTATAAATATTTCTTTCCAACAAATGGTTAACGTTATCAAAAATTTTTAAAATATACCAACCTCTAGTTAATAGTTCTCACATATTACTTCTCGATTATTAAACAGGTATTTTGGTATTGGAACCCTCGATTTATATACCTGAATTAGTATTCAAAACTCTGCATCATAATGTTATCATTCACACTGATTAACCAAAAAATGACAAAGCTCAGTCAAATTTGAAAATATAAAAACTATTGTCTTTCTTTTAGTGCATACAAATTAAAATTAAATAAATATGTATGTCACATAGTAAACAGGTGATGTGAAAATATTTTTAAAATATACTCTGAACAAATCTTGAACTACTACGATTTGAACATTTAGAAATTGTTCTGTCATGTTTATACGTACCATTGTTTTGAATTATGTGTTTAAAATGAAACTATACTGCTACAGAAGATTAAATACATATCTTGGAGGTATTGTAGTTGTGCGGCATGTTGTACAACTACACGAATCGATTCGCAAAAATAGCCAACTGTAAAATGTATTGAGATGGAACCAACTAGAAGCCTTGGGATTTTAGAAACCCAAACTCATTTTCAAAAAGGTACAATTGCAATATTTACTTACTTTAATTCGAAAATGTATGCTGTATTTTTTGTTTCTTTGCATTTGACTTTTAAATTTCAATCTTCAATTTTGAATGAGCTGCAAAATTAAAATAAAACTAGAGAAAAACCCAAAATGAATACAATTAGAAAAAAACTTATTTTTCGACCAATATGTTTAACCTAAAATTAAAAACTAATAATTTGCTCAATTAATTTTTTTTGAATTGTGAAAAGTGTGTTTAATTATCATGGTAAAAACGTAACATTGACTGGTTAAATATTACAAACAACATAATACCTATGTTATATAAAATTTAACAACTTCACAAGTAAACAATAGTTTTCTAATATTTCAAACAATTCCTACTTATTAGTAATAAAAAAGCATCCGTGGTTTTTATACAGCTGAATGTTGATAGATTAATCACAAAATCTTTTTGTTAATAACAGATCTACATCTAGCTAATTTAAGGTTAATGCACTAGATTTACTGTTGAATTCATTTCGTCTGGTAGGTAGGCACTTCCTTTTGTACCAGTTTTTTATATTAGATCACTGACCAATCTTCTGACAATATTTTATACTCTAGTGGAATGCCGATGACCACATGAGGTTTCTTG